CATGGTAGATCATGATAGATAGGTAGGCAGATACACAAGGAGAAGGATGGACAAACAGATGGATGAATGAATACCGAAGCAGACAGACAGACACACATAAAGGATAACTCATGGGGGCAGAAGAGACAGATCAGTATTAACACTGGGAAAGTTGGAAACCAATTGTTTTTAAACCACTTTAAGCATAAGAGTCACCTGGAAAACTTAGGTCCCACTCCTCAGAGAGCCTGATTCAGTAGATCTGGGCTAATAGGATTTGACATCTCAAACACACACTGGGTACTTGTACTGAAGCTGGTGCAGGAACCACCCTTTGAAAAAGCCTGCTTGAAACCATAACCCAACAAATGTTCTCCAAGGGGTACAAACTGACCAAGGTCAAGGCCAAGATCAAAACTGCATAGCACCCCTTCTTTTCGCTGAGGCCTGGTCCAGGGTGTTTTGGTGATGTGACCAAAGGTAGTGAGCACTCTTGGCACTCAATCCTCCAGCCCAACAGGACAGGACAGCTCCCCTTCCCACCTGCAGCCAGCCCATGTGCCCTCCTTTCCAGAGTCCCTTGGCAGAGGGCATCTGGTTGGATGGAGGCCCATCTCCAATGTGGAGGGCACCAGGCCTCAAGCAGTGCAGGGCTTCCCCCCGGGGACCTCACAGGCAAAGTCATCACTAGTACTAGTCCTGTCCAAGCCAAGTGGTGTCTCTACAGCCTTCTGTGACCAGCCAGCTTCTCTTGGCTCTATTTTTAGTTTGTCTACAGTGACTGTGAAGGATTTCTGGAGCACCACTCCCAAGAAGCCCAGGGACATGCTCCTTCTGTCAGCGGAAAATGTTGGGCGCCTGTCTCAGTGTCCTCACAGGCTCCTGCAGGGTCCTTCTCTAAGGAGAGAACCAGGGCAAGGTGCCAACCCACCATGACTCTAAACATGGTGCCCAACCCGTTCCTTTAAAGGCCCAGTGCAACCCCAGAGGAGTCCACTTCCTCTCCTGCTTCCCATCTTCCCTTTTCCCTGACAAGACCGGAGAGCATTTTCCCAGAAAGGTGATCCCAGCTACCCCAAGAAAGAGGCTAACACCAAGCCTTGCTTCATCCTCCATTAGGGCCCAATGGCCATTCTCCCTTCAATCAAATTCAACTCATCAGTTACTGCAGTTAGTGATTCCAGGTCCCCATTACCTGCTACAACCCATAGGCCCAAAGGCCTCCCCTACAATGGACTCCTCCTTGCTGGTGTCTCAGGGCACAGCAGGTGCTATTGGCAGCAAGGAGTATAAAGATGGTTGAGACACTCAGAGGCTGGGATGGAAGTCTGCAATTATGCAACACCCCAACACCCAAGGTCATAGTACTGTTTATGGGACACACTAGAGACCACACATGCCAGTGAACTGGATGCCACCCACAGGACTGCCGGAGCCACTCCTCGGAAGCCTAGAGAGGGTGTTCCTGGGACGTGAGGGGTCACTGGTGCTGTGACTGAGGAAGTGGACGATTCCCCCTCATTTGCTGGGCTCAGCTCAAATTCACCATGGCTGGGACTGAACTCCCCACCTTTCCCTCATTTCCTTATACCAAATACCCTGAAGCCATAAGGTTAACTCAATCTGTGGCTTCCTGCCCATGCATCAGGCATGCCAGCTCACGTAATTCTTCCTTCCAATGTCTCATGCCTCCCGCTCACTTGTCTGCTTCCATCAGTACCATGCTTAGCCCCTCAAACCCTAACCTCTGGATATCTGCAGGGCATTTGAGTTGGTCCCCTTGCCATCAGCCCTCTTCCCATGGAGCCACTTTGTGCGCTGCTCCCAGGCTAAGTCTCCTGATGTTGCTTTCATCACCTTTAACTGTTTCTTAGTTTGGATTCTCCCCAAGACAGCGAGATGGTGAGTCAGATTCAGCACCTTATCCTAGGGAGTTGGGGCAAGCAAGGCAGGAAAGCCAGATGAACCAGTAAGGGTACGTTAAGGAATGGACCACCAGTGTGGATGGCTGTACCTGGACACTGCTGGGACCCTCCGGGGCTTCCTCTGGAACACATGGCCCCTGGGGAATGGGAAGGCTGGTGTGCCCTCCCACCCACATCCCTCAGCCAAGGACTGAGCCAAGTCCCAATCCTGCACTCCCACCCAGCCTGCACTGGGGCTGAGGAAACTGCCTCCATCCAAGAGGAGTCCTTGGAGAAACAGAGGGACAAGCTGTGGCAGGGAGCGGAGCTGTCCAGCAGGGCTCCATGGGCTCTGGGTGAGTCACGGGTGAGCGGGGCAGGCCCTCCACCCCATCCATGGCAGCTCCTCAGCGCCTTCAGGAGGAGGTCCTCACTCCCTCCGGCTGCCTTCTGGGTTGAGCTGCCAGATAAGACGCAGGACGCCCAGTTCAATTGGGATTTCAGGTAACAGTGGATTTTATAGTATAAGTTTATCCCAAATGATGCATGAGACACCCATATACTAAAAACTGAAATACTAATTTAACTGGTCATTAAGTATTTTTATTTGCTAAACTTGATAACCTTACTTCAGAGTCCTCCTTGACCCGGCCTCCATCCATTTCTGCGTACCCTGATTCTTGAACCGTTTCTTGTAGGGGAAGGGGCCCTTGGGCTCTTTGCTGTACCTGAAAGCAGTCATCCAACCCCCAACTCATAGAGGTGTTCAGGTTGGCTCCCTGATGGGAGTAACCCAGGCTTCTCACATGTGTCTCTGCTCTGCCCACCACCTCTGGGTCTGATGTCTCTCCCAACATGCCAGTCTGCTGTCATCTCACCCACTTTCCCCTCTAAAAGCACTGGTCATCTGATGCCCTTGGGTCATGTACTAGCATTTGTCTGAATGCCAGTCTCTCACCTAGCTAGAGTCCAGAGTCTAACTCTAGAGGCTCTCACCTAGCCCAACACAGTCAGCAACAGGCAATTACTAGATGGTCACTGAGAAGACCCCCTGGTCCCACCAGCAAACACAAGCCCTATAAGGAGGGAGGCAGAGCCACTCCTTTGCACCCCTAGATCTCACCACCAATCAGAGTACTAGACACATGTTGTGGGATAATTGAGTGAACAGCACTTTCGGTAAAGGATGGGTCATTCCAGAAGTTTGTTTTAAACAGCCAAAATCACATCCAACAGCAAGAGGGGTGGTCAGTGTATTCCAACTACACTATGGCCTTTCTACTCTCATAGCACGGCCTCTTACTCCTTTTCTGGGTTCTGGATTTTGTCTCACACTAACCACTAACACCACTGCTGCAGGGGCCCCACACACACACCCCACACGGCATCTGGAACCGGACTCGCCACTCCACCTCAGTACAATATGGCCTGCCATCAGGCGGTGTCACTTTCTTTTCTCTAGATCTCTCCTTCTAAAACCAGTTGCTCTGATGTCACCATGATGGCCATACATATATATAATACTTTAAATTTGCAAGAATTTTCCCATGACTTATTTTAGTTTGACATCCCCATGAGGTAGGCAAAGCAAATTCTTATTTCTGACAAATGGGAGAAACCAAGTGAAGGGCTCGCTCAAGCGATCAGCGTTCCTGGTATATTATGCCTAATTTTTCATGTACAATATGACTTAAAAATGTCTGTTACGTTAATTATCTTAGCAACGTAAACAAAAACAACTCATTCTAAAATAGAATGCTCATTCTTGCATATTTGGGTCAGCACCCTGGTAGCCACACAGCAGCTGGTTACCTGCACCCTGAGCTCCCCCGTGAAAGGGAGGGCTGGCTAACCCCTCATCTTCAGGCTGAGACCTTCTTTACCCAAACGTGTGCACACATGGAAGGCAAAGGAACTGCGATTAATAAACACGGAAGCAAAGCACCTAATGGGGTCTGCAGTGGGAAGTGAACAGGCAGGCAGCACCACCCCAGTCCTGCCCAGTTTGCCCAGTCTGCAGCAGCTTTCAGAGAGAGGGATCCACTGTGCACTCCCACCCCGTGCCCAGGCCCGAGAACAAACAAAATCACATTCTTCATGGATTCCTCTACTCTTTGTGTGTGTGTGTGTGTGTGTGTGTGTGTGTGCATCTGCATGTACCTGTTTGGACAAACATTCACTGAGTGGTGGTGGGGGCCAGGGGCTTGACCCAGTTGGGGGTCTCCTTAGGGCCCAAGTAAGGGCTGCGCAGCACGTCCTCCCACCTGACTTGCTCGTAGGGAGGCCGGGAGGCCGGAGAAGGCCACCACCGGCTGCTCGGGTTGGAAAACCCCAGGGTGGGGGCACGACCCCGCCCGGCGCTCCCTCGCGACGGACAAAGTAGCCGCGGACCGATCGATGCCACCAAAGTCCAGGCGGGGCTGCCGGCGTGGCCGGGGCTGAAGTTCGCTGTAGCTCTGCACGCCTGGGGGAACCCCAAGTCCCCAAAAGCCCGAAATGTGCTTCCCGGGGGCGGGGGGTGGGCAGAGCAGCTCCGGGCCCCGGGCCCCGGGCGCAGGCACACTCGGAGAGGAATCCGAGAGGAGAAAGGTCCATTTGGGGGCGCAGCAACGTAGCCACACACGCACACAGCTACACACACACACACACACGCACACACACACACACGCGCGCACACACACACACGCACCCCGCCCGCTGTCCCCGCCCACCGCCCCTCCCCTGCGTCCCCGGCAGCCGCGCGCGGCTCCACCTCTCCGGAGCGCAGTCCACACCGTCCTTTTTCAACAAAACAACACTACGCACCGCCCCCAGCACCCGCACCGGGCGGGATTCGGGGCTACGCCCAGCCCGCCCCAGCCCGCCCCAGCCGCGCCCCGCGCCCCCGCCGCAGGCGCCGCCGCTCGCCGAGCCCCGGCCGCGCGCAGCTGGGCAGGGAGACGCAGCCCGGGCTCGGCGGCCCAGCCCGACCCTGCGCCGCCACCCACCCCCGAGCGCCCGAAGTGACAGGAGGGGCACGCTGGGCGCGCGCGGGGCGTCCCGCCTTAACCGCTTCGGCGCCGGGGCGGACGACGGCGACGCGAGGGCGGGAGCGGGGACCGCGCTGCTTGCACTCACCGGAATGTGCACTCGCAGCGAACGCCGCTTCTGGCTCGGGTTTTTCTTCCCGCCGCTCCCGCCCGGGCTGGAAACATCTTTTTTCTTCTTGGTGTCCATGGCCGCGCTTCCCATAACTTTAACCAGAAGTTAATTCCGGGTGCCTCGTCCTGCCGTCGCGTCCTCTCCTTCCTCGCCCGGCCCCCGCGGCCGGCCTCGAGCCGCGCGCTCTTCGCGACCGTCCTTCCACCCCGAGGACACCGCGTGGGGACTTCCGCGGGGAGGGAAGGTGGCGCAGGTACCTCGGGCCGCCGCCGGCAGGGATGGCGGGCGGCGAGGGCGCGGAGTTCGCGTGTCCCCTTCCTCCTCACGGGCTCGGCGATGCAAAACCAAAGCCAAAGGCGGTCCTGGCTCCGCTGTCCCTCCGGGTTACGCGTGGCAGAGGTCTCCCGCTGGGTGACAAAGTTTTCTTCCTTTTGCAAAGCGAAGCACATCTTCCCCCCTCTCAGCTCCGCCCACAGACTCCCAGAGGTAATCTGAAAGGCAGGTGCAGGTGAAGACAGCACCCGGGAAGACAGCCCTCCCGTGCCCGCGCCGAAGCGGACAATCTGGCGAGGGCCGACAGTTTGCATGCAAATAGAATCCTCGGCCGCAGTAGGAACCAGCCGGGAGCCGGGGACTCGGCCCGTCCCCCTTCTGGGCGCGAGAGGGAGGGGAGGGGGGAGGGGGGAGGAGGCGTCCCCGCGAACGCCCCGGCAACTGGGCTCCGGCTCGGCTGCGCGCACGAGGGCTGGCGGCGGCTGGGCTCGCGGGCCCGGCAGGCGGAGGGCGCGCCCGCTGCGGCCCGGGGACGGGAGCCGGCGGCCAGGGGCGGCGCGGCCCGGACGCAGGCTCGGCGAGCGCGGAGCGCCCGGAGGCCGCGTGCCCCGAACAGGAAGTGCACGGCGCGCGCCGCCCGCCCGCTCCCCCCGCCGCCCCGGCCGCCCCCGGGTCTCCGGCCCCGCGGGCGGCGTCTGCCCCTCCCCTCCCCTCCCCTCCCCTCCCCTGCGGCCGCGGCGGCGCGGGACCCGCCGGGCGCGCCGGTCTGATGCATTCCGCGTCCCAGCGCCCCTGAAACACGCCCGCGCCCTGCCCCTATCCCCGCAGCGGCGGAAGCCCCGGCGGGCGGGGGGATGCGCACTGACCCGCACTTGTCTCGGGGACCCCCGCGGCCCCCGGGTCCGTCTCCGCCTGGCGTGCGGACTCCAGTGCGCCCCGGGGCGCGGTCGGTGTAGCGGGGGAGAGCAGCTTTCCACGGCCCCCCCGCCCCCCACCGGCACCCGGCTTCTCCCGGGTTCGCCGAGAGCTGCGCAGTGATGGGCGGTTGGAGCCGGCGCAGCACCCGCCACCCGGCGCCGCGGGAAGCGTGGAGTTCCCGGGCGGCGGCGGGCGGCGGCGGCGGCGGCGGCGGCGGCGCGGAGAGGGCCGGCAGCCCCGGGCGAGGCCGCCACGTGCCGCCGCGTGGCCGCTCAGGCGCGGCCCGCTGCCGAGGGGCTTGGGTGGTGGCGTCCCCCTGCGAGCGCCCCAGGGTGCTGCGACCTCGGCTCCCTCCGGGCGGCTGGCAGCAGGGGGAATGCGCAGTGGAGACGTCTCCTTTCCCGCCCTAGGTTCTGAGGACATAGTGACCCCAAAAGTCCCTGGAGCGCCCCGAATGCTGACGTCGCCCCGCCTCTCCTCCTAAGCAGTAAATCAGGAAGGCCGCGGGGGAAGAGCGGGCCTTAACTCCTGCCCAGGTGCGGAGACTTGAGGAGCCCCCTCCTCAGAGGGGGAGGGGGAGGGGTTCGCCCGCCCTCGGGGTGGGGGCGGGGGAGGGGGGGGAGACGACACTCCTCTGGTGGCGCCTCCCAGCCAGCCAGCCAGCCAGCAGCCAGGGGTTCCAGCCGTCTTTCCTGTGCTCTTTCCAGTCCTCCTTCCATCATCTGGTGTGAAATCCCCTGCGGTCTAGGTGGTTCCTTTTTCTCCCCTGGTCTTCAGGCCAGAATGAAGCCAGACTGGAAAATCTTGGAGGACTCCTTGCTTGACATAAGTTTGAAATGCCCCGGGGCGGGCGGGGGGGGGCGGGGTTCAAAAATCAAGTGGCCAACCTGGCCCTGCAAGGTGTGGAATTTCACACTTTGACCTTTTTCTGACTGGCTGGTGGGGGAGGGGGGGACATGAGACTGCCCATTTAGGGCCCTTTATTTCCCTAAATGCTGGAAATACTGGTTAGCAGAAAAGGGGGGGGGGTTCTTTACCTATGCAACCAAGGGAACCCACCCTTACCCGCTCAGAATTCCTCCCCAAGTGTCACTTAAACTTCATCTCTTTAGCTTCCCATTTTTAATCCCTGTCACAGTAATAATAATTTTCCAGGGTGTGGAAATCACTCCGTTTGACTAGAACTGATTTGGGAAGGAAAGATGGAGAAGGTGGGAAGGAGGGAGTTGACAGGAAGGGAAGTCAGGAAGAGCCACTAGGGAGGGATTCAGAAGCAGGTCACTGTCATTGTGTCATTGCTGGGGCTAAATGCCTTGCCTGGGGCCTGTCCTGGGTGATGGGCAGTGGTTAGCAGTTCTTAGAATAGGTACTTTGTTGGTTGCTTGGTGTAAATACATCCGATCATTCATTAATAAAATTGATTTGTTCTCTGTTTATTTTGTTGGAGTACAGACTTCAGTGCCCAGGGATCCGAAATTAAAGTGTTTTACCATCTTGCCTGCATTTTAAGTGCCTTTGTTGTTGTTGTTTTTCCGTATGTGACTATTTCTGAGATCTGGGTGTTTCTTATAGACAGTGCCAAAAAGAAGCATACTAGTCTTTTTTTTTTTCCTTTTGAAAAGATATTAAATTGATCATATATCTTCCAATCAGTGGAGTCTTAGAATTGAGTTTTTTGTAATTGTTTTGCTTTGGGGGTGCCTTCTGAAACCCATGTTCCCCTCCACCTTGCCGCACACATGGTTATTTTAGCCAGTAGCTAAAAGTGGCATGCCAAGAAACAGTGTCCATGTACTGACCCTTGCTACTGATTGTTTCTGAACGCACTAACCTATGACTTCTTTCTCAAAGATAACGCAATACGATCTGTTCAAAGCACAATATCAAAATTTAAAATAAAGATAAGCATTACTGAGTTTGCCTTCTGCCTGGCTCTCATATTGCCAAGGTCAACACCATTACTGATCCAGTCTTTATGAAAAATTCGGACTTTTTTTGGTATAAGACAAAGTGTTTATACACATAGAAGTTTATATAGATTATATATATAATAAGTTCTTGTATATAAGGTTTATATATAATTTATATAAACTTTGTGCATGAATATAAAGTTTATTGATAAATTTATATATGTTTGTAATGCACTATATATATGTAGTGAAGCCAGTGCACAGGATCTGAGTAAAGCAGAGGCTCTTAGGTCATGAAATATCTATGTGATCCTTTACATTTTCCAGTGCCCTGGCAGTTAGGCTAAGAATTGTAATTAATTCTGGCCGATGAAATGTGAATAGATTAAGTGTGTGTTATTTCTGGGCCAGGCAGTGAAGAGTTGGTATGTCTCCCTCACTTTTCCTCTGTTGCTGTGATCTTAGAGACCTTGTGTTCCAGACGGTGTCCAGGAAGAAAGGGTTGGACAACTGGCTTTGGACTTGATTGAGATGGGTAAAGTCACTGAGATTTTGATAGTTACTTGTGATCACAGCATAGCCTTGCCTATAAAAAATATTTGCATTGAAATATTACTTATCGTAATGACTGGGTTTTGGCACCCCCTTAAATTTCTACCCAGGGCAGGGCTGCATCCGCCTCCCTCTGATGTGGCCCTGTCCTTCGAATTGATGGAAGGATGAGAGGTAGAGGCTGGCCAGAATTGTGGGGTGCTGTGGGAACCACCTTGAAGTCTCCGTTTGTCCTGAGTGCTGCCACTGAACCAGTCACTTCCTCCCCCCTTCTGCTAGACAATCTTCTGAAGATTTCTGAGGCCTCTTTAACAAGGGGCTTGTATTTTGTCTTGATTATATATATTGTACATATTTGTTCATTTTATTCCTCCAGTAATGCCTTTTTTATTTAACTTTTCAGAAGTCTCATTGCACAATTAATTGAAAATTAAAAACAAGCAAACAAAAGATCTCTTCACCACCAATGATTTAGGACAGTGCTTCTAAGGGAAAGGGGGCTTCTTGAAGATGTTTCCACTGGGGCATCATTTGTCCAGGCTGGTACTAACGAGAGGTACCCATATACAGCACCTACTGTGTGCCAACACTGGGGCGTTTTATAGGCTTTAGTATCTCTACATGAGGATGTTATTAACCCCGTTTCACATCACACCTGTGTTTGTGTCATTGTAGTTCCACAATTCTTTCTAATAAAATTCCCCAGAACAGTCAGAGACATTTTACAGAGGAGGGAAACTGAGACCAGCCATCAGATACCACTTAACTTCTGTCCATTGATTTTAATTTGCAGGGCCCTCTGGAAGGAAACTAAAAAGTATGGCCCCTTCCGCTTTCAAAAGCTTTGTACAAGGCTAGCAATACTATTTAGGAAACTCCTTCAGGGTGACCTTGGACAGACATCAACATCTTAGCTGCGTGGGTCTGTATATTTAGGAAACCAGTCACTCCATTTTGGGCAGAAAGCACCTCTTGGAAAAATGAAACAGGGTCTGCGCTGAGGACGCTGTGAATGCTTTGCTAACTCATTAGAGACCAAGAGGAGAGGGTGTTGTCATCCCATCATGAAAACCAGGGCTAAGGGTCACATTCAAATTTTTATTTTCCTTTAAACATGGGCACTGATTATGTAACCTTGTGAAAGCTTTTGCTCCCTGGTACAAATGAGGCTACTGTTATCAATCTAAGGGTAGTGGTGGAGGTGCATGCAGGAGCAGTGGGAAGGGCTGCTTTGGGGCAGTATCTCTCTCAACAGCCCTTTCCTGGGTCCCTTTTGATTTTTCAGGGGACCCGCACAAGCCACCCCCTTTATCTGTGTTTCAGATCGCACTTCATCTGTAATGCCGGTTAACCATAGGTCATCCTGCCCATGCAATCCAACAAGTACTTTGGATTAAGATAAAGGTAAGCTCTGTGGCAATATTCTCCCAAAGGACAGACTTGCTGTTCACTCTTTTTCTCTAGAGAATAGGCTGGTGTCTTGACCGGCTTTGCCTAAACACACACTCAGCAGTTCTGAAGAATGACAGATTCAGCAAGCAGGGTATGTGTGACCCACAGCACTGTGTAGTAGAGAGGCGTCTGTTTGCTAAATAAAAGAATAGGTAATCCCAGTAATTGTCCCCTTCCTATACTAAGGGTAGCAGTCACGTAAACAGCATTAGTTGGGAATCAAGTCTTTGGTTCTGCCAATAGCTGCTTTCATAACTGCGTTACAGAGTTCCCATGTGACTTTTGTCCTGGAAATGTCCAGCATTTCCTCCCAGCCAGGGAGTGGGTTTGGGCTCCCTAGGCTGCAGAATTCCACTAAAGCTCTATATATGTTGGTTCTCGACTTCCTCCTGAGCTTTGAACATGCTAGACGTGAACAGATTAACCCAGGGAAATTTGGAATTCCACTGTTAATCTGAATATGGCATGAACCTCTGCCATGACTGACCTCTGCTCTCACTCAACGTATCTGTTTAGGGCATGATAAAATAATGCAAATGAATTATAATAATTTCCTAAGCAAGCAAAATTTCTTTGGCGATTGCACTAGCCCCAAAATGCATATTCTGCATGTACAAATATGAACATTAACTTGCACGAGGGAGTGCTTATCGGCACCACTGTTAACCATTTATTCATGTAACTTGCAGCTGACATCTAGAGCTGCTGGCCTCTAGAATGCTAGCTATGGTTTTTTAACAAGGCTCCAGAAAAAATACATTTACAGTGCCTGGTGATGGGCAGTGTTTGGAGAGTGGATCCAAATCCAGTGTGTGTCCTGGATTTTCAAGTATATTATAGACTTTGACCTCTTGACATCCACCATCACTGCAGATGCAGTTTCCTTCCTGACTCTTAGGGAAAGCTGTGTCCCTCCTGGAGGGTCCAGGCATACCTGGAGTTAAACCCATGTACAAACTTGCCAGTGTCTGTCCCTGTCCTTGAACCTTAGCACTTTATATCACAATCGATAAATGCCTATTTGGTACACAGACAGAGCCTACAAGATGCTTGGTTCCAGGGCTCTGACTGTGCAGGGAGGCTGTCAAGGATATAGTGATCTTTGACAACCCTCCTTATGCAGAGTGGGTCAGAAATGTATTTTGTAAAATGTTCCTAAATATAGCTCCAAAGAGTTGCATGAGGTCCTGGGAGAGAATGGAGAGAGAGAGAAAACTCTGTGCCCCCATGAGCTTGCAAAAGGTCATTTCAAATCATCGCAACACCCCAGTGCATCATTGTGCAAAAGGATTTACCTTGCTTTTCTTTTTTTTTTCTTTCCCCACTCATTGTAGCATTTTATCCTCTAGGCGAAAAAATAAAGCATAATTACAAAGTTCATTGTTCCTTGACCAGCCTGAAAGAACATTTTCCTTTCATTGTAGCTTATTCACACATGATGGAAGAGGTTCCTCAAATCTCCTGGAGATGGATGCAGAGTTTCTCGGAGCAACCAGGAGGACCTTGTGTGAAGCACGAGGTGGCATGTGGGGCTCGCTGCAAATATGAAGCCCTCGAAGAGACTCCATGCCCATGCTGGTCAGCATCGAGGCCAGCTACCTGATCTTGTGGCTAGGATGCAAGCACAGCTGCTTCGGCCAGAGCTTTAAGAAGAGTCTATATCTTAGTAGGATCGCTGGTTCCAAGTCCTTTTGTGATCTTTGCAGCCTTAAGAAACTGACAATTTGTTCTCCAAGAATGGAGATAGCTAGAGAATTGTGTCATTTTAACCACTCCCTCCTAAAAGACTGGTTTTTCAGCCTGTCTAGAGATTTGCTCTTTTGCCAGGGAGCAGGGGGAGTCATTTGCCTCTGCCCTTAGATCTGTTCTGTGTCCCGCCCTGCTCTGTGTTGCCCAGAAAAGCAGTCCCAGGATCTTTAGCCAACTGATCCCACTTGGTGTCCGGCCAGGTTTGGCCAGAGGGAGGCAGTGGTGGAGCTCGGAGTATGGGAGCAGGAGGGAGGCTGGGGGTTCTTCTTGACATTGGATTGGAAATCTGGGGACATGAGGGAGGTGGACAGCTCTGGGGGAGGATTCTAGGACAGGTCAGGAGGGCAGTGTGGCGGGGGGACAGGTGGGGATTTGTGTGGGTGAGATGGGATGGTATTGGGGAACGTCAGCCAGAAGAATGGCATGATCCAGCTTCTGTTTTGAAGGCTGGCCTGGTGGCTCTGTGAAGTAGAGTAAGAGGAAGGAACTGGCACCCAGTCAGGAGCTGTCACTGTCATCCCACCGAGACATCATGGCTTGGACAGGAGGGGAGAGGCAGGGTGGTGAGAAGTATACATACTTCCGGATGTATGTCAGAACTTACTGAGAGATTGGGAATAGGGTCTGAAAGAAAGGAACAGGTAATGTATGGTCTGAGGTCTTGGCCTGAGAGGCTAGAATGATCCTGTTTCCTAGGAGGAGAGGCTCAGGGCTATGGGCAGTCTGCTCTGGGCTGTAGTAAGGCAGAGGTGCCTGTAGGGACCTAAGGGAAGATCCTCCAGCAACAGGGAGACGTCTGGCTGGTGACATCGGCCCAGCTGGCATTTCAGGCCAGAAGCGGGAAGAGGTTTGGAGGCATGAGCATAGACAGCAAAGAGGTCAGGAATGCACCCCGCAACCCCCCCTCTACCAGTTCCAAGTTGGGGAGATGAGCAACCTTGAATTATGAAGAGAACCAAGAGAAAATGGATCTGGCAGCCAGGAGACAGAAGCTCATTGAGGAAGGTGCAGAGTGAGAGACAGGACTCAGAGGTGACCATGGGATTTGGCCTCAGCTGCCTTGATGAGCCAAGGACTAGTGGGAGCAGTGGTGTCATGCAGAGGACTCACAGGAGGCAGGGCCGTGCAGGGGGCTCATGCTGGATGGGTAGCTCCCAGAGCTCTGCAGAACAGGGAGCAGAGATGGGCGATGAGAGAGGAATGTGGGTCAGGAGATATTGGTTTTCAAGGAGCAGGATGTTCTAGCATGTTTGAGTGCTGATGCCGTGACCCTGTCCCGGTCAGGGAGGGAATCCATGATGCAGAAAAGGAAAACCAAGGGAGCAAAATGCTGAGATGGGCAAGAGGGGTGAGGTGTGCCAGCCCTAGGGGAGGACAGTCCTTCGGGCGAGAGGAGGCTCATCACCTGATTGGAGGGAGGGGTGCACGGAGACATGGACAGGGAGCTGGGGGTTCTAGTCTCCTCAGATTGGGAATCAGTGGCACCCCTGATAGAGGGGATGGAATGGGGGCTACAGGAGAGACAGATGGGAAAGCAGAGCTGTAAGGGGCCATGAGGGGACATTTCCCACACAAGTGGAGGGATGCCCTGTGCATCTGCTAACTCAGCAATAGGTCTCAGAGAGTGTGTGTAGCAGTTTGCAGGGAGCTGCCTTCTTCCTGGAAGAAGTGATAAATGGGCATGATATTCCATTGTAGAAACACTCCATAACTTATTTGATCATGATTTGCTATTTATTGCATTTGTTTATATAAGCAGTCCCCTCCTGCTGAAAATTTAGGTTGTTTCCAGCCCTGGAATGCTGGGTACACACGCTCCAATGCAGAATTGTTGGAGAAAAGCTCATGTGCACTGTCCACCTGGACAGGCAGCCAATCTGTCCATCTTAGGTGGATGGCACACAGGCCCATCTCATTGGGCTTGCCAACAGAGTTACTTTTCTAGCTTTTTGATATTTGCTGATTTGTTAGGTGAAAATAGTGTCATGAAACTAAACTTTCATGGTTTAATTTACCTGTTCTGAATGGAGAATAGCTTTTGTGCATTTGCACTTCCTGTTCAGTTACCTTCCTGTGAGTTAGTTGCCAGTGCTTTCTCCTGTGGGTGCTAGGTCTGTCTCCCACCTGCTTACAGGTGCTCTTTATACCTTGACAGAATTAGCCCCTGTCAGTGCCATGCACTGCAAGCATTTTTTTCCAGGTCTAATTGTCTTTTGAGTTTTTTTATCTTGCCCTTTTTTTTAGCATACAGGATTTTCCCCTTTTTATATGGTTTGTTTTATTGATTTATGTTTATGGCTACTAAGATTTTCTGTCACATACAGAGAAGTGCTGTGGGAGGGGCACAGGCTCGGGACTCACACTTGCCTCTGTCACTCTCCGGTGGTATATTTGCAAGGATGTTGCACAACCACTTGGTAAATGTGGGATGAGAATGCCTGGGAGCATATAAGCACCTGCACGTGGAAGATGCTCCTTTCTCTTCCTCAACGTCAGTCCCAAAAGCAGAGCACACAGCAGTGGCATGTTTGCTGCCTGCTTTCCAGAATCCTTCTGGAACATCACAGTGCCCGTAATTTCCTGGGCACAGGCCCTGTGGCCCTCTGAAGTCCACCCAGCCCTGCACTCCGAGGTGACATTCACCCCAGAGGAGAGCTCATATCCTAGAAGGCTGTTCCAAAGTTGCCATCGGTCCTAGGGGCAGCCAAGAGCAGGGTTCCTGTCTTTCACCTCAGAGATGGAGCAGGGTTTCTCACAGGGTTGCCCTCAGGTGCTGGGCTCCTTACTTCCTCACACTCTGGTCAGGCAGTTTGGGGTAGGCCATGTCACCTGCTGGGTTGAAGTTTGAGACCTGCTGCAACAACCCTTCCTCTGATCCTTCTCCAGGAAAGTATTTTAGGAACCAGAGACATAACAGCAGCACACTTTGCTCCATCTTTCCAGCTAAGAGAGTTGCAGGCATGGTGCCTGCCTGTCACCCACCGGAATGTGCGTGGCTGTGGAGGATGCCCTCAGAGAATAGCTTGGCCCCCAGGAGCACCAGCCAGGAGAGCTTCCCACGGAGCTGGTAGCTGAGTCGCTTTCCCAGCTATGTGGGCTGAAGGCCTGTCTGAGTCCCAACAGGAGGGAAATGTGGGGTAGGGGATGCCAACTTGCCTCCTGTTTCCATTTTACATACACGACATCTGTACCAAACCTTCCCTGAAGAGAGATTATGTTGTATGAGTTTAAGGTGTTTGACTTTATAACTCTTTCTAGAATGACTTTTACATTATTGAACAATGGGAATGAGTCAGAGGCCTGGAAATGGGATACCACTTAAGGCCCAAGTGGGAAGAAGGTTTTTACGAAAGTGAAAGAGGGATCACATGGAAGTTTAGAAAGTATGATGGGCTTTGGACTTGGACTCCAGAGAGAGGAGGGCAGTAGAGTTATTTGGGGTCGTGTTCCAAGGAGGGTTTTTCTACCTAGAACTGTTCCATCCAGAGCTGTGTCTGAAACCCTAAGAGATAGGACTTGATTCTCTCAGGGCCAGGGCTGAATGTGGCTGGCCAACATGGGGATTTGATAGTTGAAACCTAAAAAAAAGACATCTGTTAAGATTTCCAGGGAGAAATTCATGTCTTTCTCCTGACCTCTTGCTCTTGGTTACTGTTTTCCTTCTTGGCACTGGAGCTAACCCTCACATCCTTCTCACAGGTGGCCAGTGCACGGAGCATCAGAGCTGATGGCTGTAACACACACACACCACACACACACACACACACACATTGTGCATTCATGGCTTTATTTCCTCTTTAGGGGAACCTGCCTCCCCTGCTGGCAGGGGCTGCCACTCCCAGTCAGTGTTCTGGTCCCTGCCCACCAGCTCAGCCAGTCACAACCTCCCTCACATGGGGAGTTGGTCCTGGGGGCCAATCAGAGCCCTTCCCTGGTATTCTAACCGGAGCTGACCAACCTCTCTCCCTCTGTACCCCAAGGCTGGAAGGCTTCCATCTGGAGCTGCCCCCACTCAAGGGACAGTAGCCTGAGAGTACAGCTCTCAAAAAGAACTAAGGAAGGGGGGACATGGAAGCCTCGGTCCCCCATCACCCCTAACACCACTTCCTCCTCTCCCTCTCCCCGTGAGCCAACAACATCTCCATCTTTTGGGTGGCTCAGTGGTTGAGCGTCTGCCTTCGGCTCAGGGTGTGATCCTGGGGTCCTGGGATCGAGTCCTATAGCACGTTCTCCTCAGGAGCCTGCTTTTCCCTCGCCTGTGTTTTTGCCTCTCTGTGTCTCTCATGACTAAATAAATAAAATCTTAAAAAAAAAAAAAAAAGGTAGAGTTGGAATTCTGTCTCTTGCAAGACAAGAGCCTTAACTAAGGAACTTCTCACTTTTAATTAACTTAATTTTGTTATTCTTTCTAGAATCAGGTGGGGAGAAGAAGGGACCCAAGGAGGAAGAAGAGAAGCAAGAAAGAGGAAGGCTGTGTAGCAGAGTTTATAGCTGACAGGAGTGCCTGTTATCTGGCCCTTGCAGCCTGACCCCTCTCCTCGGCCACCCTGGCCACGTTCTTTGCTGTGGTCAGGTAGCCTTGACCTTCCTGGCCAGCAGCCTTCCAAAGGACGTCCAGGACCAGGCTGTTTACTCCCAAGCCCATTCGGAAGATCTGTGGGAACGGAAGGCTCCATGATGCCGTAGGCCCCGCCCTCCGTGTGAGTGGGCAGCTCCCTGGCTGCACACAGTGTTTGCGGGTGCCGTGGCCCTTTCCAGAGGCTCAGGTCAAGCATTGGATATTCTCGGAGCCCTGGGGGCTCAGATGAGAATCTCTGATGGGACTGGAGTGCATAAATCTTCTCCCATAGGAAAAGAACTTTGCCCTTTGTGATTGAAGAAAGCCTGCTTAAGCTGACTAATGACTAGGATTACCAAATTCCATTGGCAAATTTTCCAAGTTACCTGAGCAAGAAAAAAACAGTGATTACAGAAGCCAAGGGCCAGCATCGTCAAGTGCACGTTGGTCATTTACTTGGACAGGCACAATCCCGTCCTTCTTATTTCTGGTTAAACTCCCATGGCTCTGTAACCAGATACCTCCAGGCTGGGAGGATGGGCTGAGCGGGAAGGGAAGGGCTGTGGGGTTGATCTACATGGTCAGATTTCTGGTTCAGAGAATTACCAAGATTTGATGTGAAAGAGCCCCTTTCCTTTTCGTTTACTCTTACCACATCCTCATTTCTTTTTTAATCCTTGTATCTCTTTGTGTTTTTACATCCAGATTCACAAAGTGGCTAATCTTAGGGCTACATGAGATCGGAAAATGCCCTGTCTCCTATTGTACCATTGTTCTGCTTTCATCAAGAGCAAAGGAACAGAGGGGTGCCTGGGTGGCTCAGTTGGTTAAGTGTCTGCCTTTGGCTCAGGTTGTGATCTCAGGGTCCTGGGATGGGGTCCCACATCGAGCTCCCTGCTTGGCGAGAAGCCTGCTTCTCCCTCTCCTTCTGCCTGCCACTTCCCCTGCTTGTGTGCTCTCTCTCTCTCTCTCTCTCTCTCTCTCTGTCAAATAAATAAAATCTTAAAAAAAAAAAAAAGGAGCAAGGAAGCAGCGCACAAACAGTAGCTTTCTAATAGCCCATTGGGAAGATCTACAGTATTTATTCTACTGATTTTCCTATTGCTCAAAATATATTGGAACTCCTTTTAAACATTTTGTGAACTTAGGGCAGTTTGTGAGGTGCAAAAAAGCAAAAGTACCAAAGTCAATAGACTTCCCATGGAATATTTGTGCAAGCACCAAGCCAAATCGTCAGCATAGACAAGGCACAGAAAGGATGCAGTATTGAAATTCCCACATGGTAGCCTCTGTCGACATCTCACCGGCCAGTGAATTTTGCTCCAGCTGACCCTTATTAATGAAAAATTGGATCTGTTTCGGGCTGAATTGCTAGCATCCCAGGGATCACTCAGTTCGTCTCTCTCTCTCTCTCCCTCTCTCTCTCTCTCTCTCTCTCTCTCTCTCTCTCTCTCATTAAACAAAGAAACAGTAACTTCAGAGACTCCCATTTGCCAGCATATCTTTGTCAGCTGGGATCCTTGGGGAGGTGGATGCCAAGACAGAATTAGACATGTAAAAGCTTTAATGGGGGTAATGTCTGTGCAGGAGATAGAGGGGAACGAGTAGGAGTAGGTGGGGGGAGTCTCTGACCCGAGCCCAGGTCTGACACCTGAAAGCCACTATTGCTACAGCCGGTCGTGGGGCCACATGGGTGCCCACTCTGCCCTGCACCCCCACCCCCACAGTATCCAGTCTAAATGGCCTGCCTGGTAGTGTGACCCAGATCTTGTCCTGAGGGCTCTGAGTCCTTTATAATCATACCCATCTTGGGCCAGGCTGGCAGCATCTACAGTCACACCGTGCCATCATGAGGGGGAGCCACATGGACCCTTGGCGTCAACATGTCTTCCAACCCCATGCCTTCTATGAAAGCACGCTACCTCCAACTGCTGATCTTGGTCAACTCACCCCACCAAGAGAGTGACTTCCTTACACACTGGGCCCTGGCCACGAGGAGCCAAAAGCATCCGGGTGACAGCTGCAGCCTGCCGTTCAATAGGACCCTGGCTGTGTCCCCTGGCAAGACAGTGTCCCCTTTTGGGACCAGATTTTAGCTCTACAGAGTCCGGAGTTGCAGGGACAGGAAGCAAAGAGTCTGCCAGCAGGTCATTGGAGTGACTCCATGGTTCATGCGCATCCATGTGTTCTTCCCACGGGAGACACGGTGCCACAAAGAGCTCTCCGACTTAAAGCACACACTGCTCCTGCAAGGTATTCCTTCCATCCCTGCACAGCATCACCTCCGAGCTTCAGGGACTTCTTCAGTGCACTCTCCTGGCTCTCTGCAAGCCTGGCTGCTTCTGGATGGTGTGACATGTGATGGGCCGGTGCCTCCTACAGTCACACCCTCCCACCCTGCAGCTTCTTAGCTGTAAAGTGAGCCAGCCCTCTGTTGGGTGCTGTGTCATGTGGAATCCATTCCTGGCCAGGTGTCCCATAACCCCCAGACAGTGGTGATAGCTGAGCATAGTTCTCTGTGGGCAGGAAGGACAGATCCACACTTGGAATAGGTATCTGTCCTTGTAGGATCAACCGCTGTCCCTTCCGAGATGTAAGGGAACCCAGGCATATGGTCCCCTCAAAGAATAGCACCAACTGGAATTATTGTTGCTGACTGGTTGGAAATTCAGAGAGAGTCCATGCTGTCAGGCCCATGCATAGCCTCCTTCTCTGCCGCTCAGGCTGCTCCATCCACATACCCAACGTGCCAGTCCCAGGGTGGCTGGTGACCAAGGCCAGCTGCCATCAACCAGTGAGTCATTTTGCACATTTGGCTGTTTAGTGCCTCTTGCATGGCAGACTCTCTGGTGGGCACTAATGTGTGATTCAAACATCTTTACACCTTGTGCCCACTCCCATCTGTCCATCCACGTGCCTCTATCCAGAGCTTTCTGTCCCTGACCCTCCAGTCCTTTTCCTTCCAGACCGTTAGCCAGCTAGCTGGGCCACTGGCCACAGCCCAGGCACCTTGGTCTAGTTCTCCTTCCACACACGTGGATGAGTAGCTGTGCTGCTCACAGCCCTGCCCTCTGGGAAAAGCTGTCTCCTGTGTCATTCAGGGTTGTTCCAGAACATGACTGTAATGCCGTGGCTAAACATTTTCCAGTTCCTCCCCCAGTACGACCATCTGTCAATCAAGCTTGGATTCTTTTTGTTTTTTATCAGCTTCTTATGTGGGTCATACAGGACACCTCACTACCCATGTGGCCATAGAAGTGAGCTGGGGAAGGGGTGCTGGTGGGACCATAGTGGGTGAAGTGGCAGTCCACTCATGCAGCATCTTAATGCCCTATGATTTTGCTCGGCCCCTATCCCAGATACACCATCTCCCTCTTGCCATGGACTGCTGCTAGTCTGTTCAGCTTTGTGACTTGGTAGGTCCCACAGGCCCTAGGTCACAGGGCACAGTTCCAGGTGCATGGACAGCTGGTGCTCCAACGTCAAGTGTTCCCTCTATCAGGAACCTGTTTCTCAAAAAGGGGAATAGTTCTCTGCTGTAGTTGGCATGGCCTTGCTCCAGAACCCCAGGAGCTGCATTGGGACTCTCCCCTGGCTGGTCATGACCTCTGTGCTGCATCTCTCCCACTGTTGACACCACCAACACTGCAGTGGGTTCTCAGAGAGGAGACCCAAGTGGCCACCTGCATGGCTGCCACAACATCAGCCCCCTCCTGCCTTAGCTCTCCCCCCCGCCCCATTCCCCAGTTCTACCTGCAATATCTCCTCCAGGAGGTGGGCAGGCTGGCCTCTGTGGCCACATAAGCAGGTTATGTGGGTTGAATTGTGCCCCCAAAGACACATGTTGAAGCAATAAGCCTGGCACCTGCAAAGGCAATCTTATCTGGAAATAAGGTCTTTGCCGATGCCATCTGGTTAACTAAGGTCATTAAGGTGGCCTCTAATCCAGATGACTGGGTCCTTATGAGAAGAGATGAGACACAGACACAGACGCTTGAGGATGGAGCCTGGTTGGAGTGAGGCATCTAGAAGCCAAGGAGCCCCAAGGATGCCAGCAGCACCCAGAATCTGATAGGTACAGAGCACATCCTCCCTGGAAGCCTCATGGACTCTGCTGTTGGCCTTGCTGACACCTTGATTTCAGACTTCTAACATCCAGAACCGCAAGAGAATAAGCTTCTGTTGTGAGCCCCCTAGTCTGTGACATTTTGTTACAGCAGCCATGGAAACTAACATTCACGCCTTTCTCAGCTGTCCCTCCGTCCCTTTGTCCTGTGTCCTCTCCTGCCTGGAGCACCCCTTCTCTACCCTTCTCCACTTACCACAGCTCCCGTGGTCCCCATCAGGGCACTGAAATTCGCTTTGGGGCACCCAGGCTCTGGCTCACTGCGGGCCCAGCTGTGTTCTTAACACATCTGTGGGCCGAGCTGCACCCCTTAGCACTTAATTATAAACTGCCTTGCTTAATTTATTTTTATTTCTCACCTTGCTCCATGAAAGGATGTTAGGGAGCTGCTGCTTCCCATTGCTTGCTAAAAGGCTATTTCTGTTGTGTTTTTCAAGACTGATTTGATTGGTTTTGGAATCAAGTAGGGTCTGCCCTCAGGCCTCCAAGCCAGGAACACACAGCAGGTCTCCGCAGGGCCTGCTGGAGAGGAGGCCAGATCACATGGGGGCAGGCCTGTCTGGGGCCCAGCCATGCCCATTTTCTGGCTCCGGTACACAGAAGCTCTGTTAAGATCAGTCTTTAGGACCCTAACTCTCTGTGATTGAAGCAGCCCTAGTGGCACATGGACCACAGCAGACGCTATAAACAAAAAAGTCTGTTGGGGATTTGGGCCACGCCCCATATTTGAACCCACCCACGCCTCAAACTCCACAGGTCCTTTAATAGCTCTCAGTAGAAGAAAAAGAGAATATTCCAGATCTTGCAAAGTTAATGCAAGATCCAGATCTTGCAAAGTTAATGCAATGAAAGGGGACAGGAGGACCCATTCCAAATGTAAATCAAAGACGATTTGAATTTAGCGACAGCCACATTTAGCACCCATAAGCTTTAATTTTAATTAAGGCAGAGAGTGGCTCATCTCCAATCAAGGCCAGAGAATTAGCGCAATCTCGTGACACATCGAGTCATCTGGCAGAGTGGCTTCGCAGGGAGCCCGTGGTGTGCTGTCGGTGGTGCCTGTGGCTGCGCACTGCCTCCCGGAGGACTCATTCTGACCTGCAGTGTGAGGGCTGAGCACCCAGCAATAACCTCATCACGGGACCCTCCAAGGCCCTCCGCTCTGCCGGGCCCTAGAAGCTAATGCACGGCCTCAGCCTCTCCTCCAGCGAGCCTGGTTCTGGACCATCACCCCTCCCACCCCTGTGCTGCCAGCCATGCCGGCCTCAGTTTCCTCATCTAGACAACGAGCATCCGCCTCACCCGGCCCTTTGGTCTGAGGCTTGGAGGAGGAGTTTGCAAAGTGTGAAGCCCTCTCTAAACAGAGCATGCTCCTAGTCACCGCATGTCCTGTGTGTCAGAGAAGTCTGTGGAATGAAGGACCCAGGTTTGGTCACAAGGACGTCATAGTTTGCCTGCTGGGAGGGACATCCCAGAGACCCACGGGCAGGAGTGACACCCAGCTGGCAGTGTGGGACCGGGATGTGGGGCCCGGCCCTGGGGGGCCTGGGTCCCTCGTGATCCTTCTGATGACAGAATCTGCAGTGATGCCTGGCCCCTTCCTGTGCAGCCCTGTCGCCTCCTCACACAGCCAGGGGGTCTCTGGGGCTCCTCACGAGGACAGCCCTCCACTTCAGGCAGTTCTGGAGTTTTGCAGACGGGGCCCCTGACACCCAGCCTTCCTGCCTTTCCGTGTGTGGCTAACTGGGTGCCCCTTTCCCGGGGGGCTGCACTTCACCTGCCCAGGGACAGACACGCCCTTTTCACCAGTAGTGAGCCTTTGGGGGGGCCGGTGTGTGGCGAAACCAGCGGCCACCTCCCACCCAGCCCAGAGGAAGTTGGGTTTTAAAGAGCTAAGAAGCATGTCATTTTCCAGAACACACAGGAAAAATTCACAGTTCGTCTAGACAAACACATGCCTGCAAAATTAGCAGTGCCGTCTTCAGAAGGGCAAACGGTTCTCAACTCTCACCCAACCTCAGGAGGTCCGAGGTCAGGATGCAGGTGTCTGCAGTGCTGGGGTCTCTGGAGCGCCCCCCACCCCCAGCTTGGTAGTCCAGTCATGTTTCTTACCCTTATTGTAGTGGCTCTACTACATGGTGCCTCTTACTGTGCATGATCTCAGATGTTTCTCTTCTAGGTAGAGGAGGTACCAATCACCCATTTTATTTATGACTCTGCAGGTAAGATCAGAATCAGAGTGTAACCTGAGGAGGAATGTCAAGGAAAAGACGCTGGGGAAACGAGCTGATGTTTGCTCATTGCAAAAACCTGGCTTTTGCCTCCTCCTTGGTTTTGATGATCTCATAGCTTCTATACGACAAACACTCAGGAAGTAGCTAATTGTTCAGCCAAAGGTATCTATTGACTGCATCGTTTATTTCCACGCAGCCAGGACTGACCATGCTCCCTGGAGGACATCCAGGAGGAAGTGCAGGCCCGGCCACACGGAGAAGAGCTGAGAGGGCCTCTGGTGCTGGAATGCACCAGGCACTGAGCGAGCTAATGTTTGTTCCATGCCGGCTGTTGCACTGGGTGCTCTCAGGCCACCTGTGGCCTTTCACATGTCCTTGGAAGGTGTGTCACTGTTTCACAGAAGTGGACATGCAAGGACACAAAATGTGGCCAAGTGGCACTGCAGCAAGGGACAGAGACCTTCAGCTAGGACTGGACAGTCTGGACTTCCAGAAGGTTTGCAGGGCCCCCGAGGCAGCTGCCCAGAGCCAAGGAGTTGCAGGGATGGGGTGGCCAGGGATTCACCCTGAGCTACATGCCACAGGGACCCCTGTGCCACCTGGGGCCACAGGATACCTCCGAGGTCCCTTCCCTCTCCCACTGCCCTCACAACCACTCCAGACTCTCCCCTCCTCTGGGAAACCTCTGCCAGGCTCCCTCCCCAACGTCCCTCACCAACTGGGACTCCCACAGAAGACTCATGACTGTGTCTTCACTAGAAGCCCCTCCTCTGCTCACCCCCCCACCCCGCCCCACCATCACGCACTCTCTATCCTGCTCCACCTGTGTTGCTTGGGCCCGTGCAGTGGTTCTTCCTTTTTTTTATTTTTTAAAAGATTTTATTTATTTATTCATTCATTCATTCATTCATTCACTCATTCATGAGAGACCCAAAGAGACGCAGAGACACAGGCAGAGGGAGAAGCAGGTTCCCTGTGGGGAACCAGATGCAGGACTCGATCTCAGGATCCCGGGATCACACCCTGAGCCAAAGGCAGATGCTCAAGCTGAGCCCCCCAGGTACCCCTGGTTCTTCCTCTTGACTACACATTGGAATCACCTGGTGAGTGAGTTTGAAAACAAAAAGAAGAGGGGAGTGTGCCTAAAGATTCTGAGACCCAGCTTGCCTGGGGCCCTGCTCCTTCCTACCCACACCTCTCCGCCTACCACCCCCCTTACACCCAAACTCCTGAGATAACTGTCCAGCCTTTTCTCTCCAGACCACCGGAGTGCTGGGGCCACCTCACTGCTGACCCACTGGGTCCTCAGTCCTCATCATACCTTCCAGCAGCGCTGACCAATCGGCCTCTCACTCTTTCTTGAAGCACTTACTTCCCTGGCTCCCTGACATCTGGCCCAGGCTTTCCATTGACCTCACTGGCTGTTACTGGTTCCTCCCCATCTACTCTTGGTGGCCCAGGTCTCCATGCTGGGACCTGTTCTCTTCCCCGGGGTGCACTCCCCCTCCCTTGCTGTGCTCACTCAGCCTGCAAGCTTTATAAGTCATCTATTCACTAAGATCGGATCGCTGATCTGACCTCTCTCAAATGCTGGACACGTGTGTCCAGACCCCCCACTTGGCCTCCCCACGTGGGTGTCTCGTGGACATCTCAAACTGAACATACCCCAAACTGGGGTCCTGCCCTTCCACCCCACCCCACCATGGCCTTGCCAGCCTTCCTGTTACTCAAGCCCAAAACTGAGTTGTGCTGGGTTACTTGCCTCTTTCACACCTGCTTCCAACC